TGATGAGAAGGTGGAAAAAGAGGAATACTCACACACTGTTGGTAGGGATGTAAAGTAGTACACCCAGTAGGGAAAACAGTATGGGGTTCCTCAAAAATGAAAACTAGAACTACCGTGTGGTCCAGCAATCTTACTGCTGGGTATACATCCAAAAGAAAGGAAATCAGTGTATCAAAGAGACATGGGCCCTCTCACTTTTATTACAACATTTCTCACAATAGCCAAGATATGGAATAAACCTAAGTGTCCATCGATAGATGAATGGACAGAGAAAATGTTGTATATGTACGCAATGGAATACTATTCAACCATAAAAAGGAATTAAGTCCTGTCATTTGCAGCAGGATAGGTGGATCTGGAGGTCATTAGTTATGTAAAATAAGCAAAACACAGAAAGACAAATATTGCCTGTTCTAACTCGTATGTGGGAGCTAAAAAGGGTGTCTTGTGGTTGTTGAGAGTAGGACGGCAGATCCCAGGTGCTGGGGTGGAATGGTGGAGAGGAAGTGGAAGGGGGCTGGTTAAGGAGTACAGAAATACAGTCAGAAGGGATGAGCTATCACATGCAATATAGAAGGAAAATTCTACTTAATAGTTTATTTACATGCCAAAATAGCTAGAATTGTAGTGTTCTCAATACAAAGGAATACAAAAATGTATGAGGTCATGAGTATCCCGATGACCCTGACTTTATCATTACACATTTTATACAGATATCAAAATATCATATATAATCCCAGAATATGTACAGATATTATAATACATTAGAATTAAATCTTCCAAACTATAAACAGGGGGTGTCTTTCCATTTATACAGGTTTCCTTAATTTGTTTTGGCATTGTTTTTCTGTTTTCATAGTACTAGTCTTCTGCCTCCCAAGTTACATTTTATTGTGAGGTGTTTTATTGTTTTGTATGTTATTGCAAATGATATTGTATTTTTAACTTTTGTTTTAAATTGTTTGTGTCCAGTATACAGACGCACAACTGATTTCTGTTGTTGATCTTGTTCTCTGCAACTTTGCCAAATTCTCTACTTTTTAAAATCCAGAATAAATATGGGCTTAGGCAAGGGAGAAGCGTGTGTGTATTCATGATGCATGCATAGTCACATGTATGTTGCTTGCGTATATACCATTCAATAATCAATACATAAATATATATAATACATATCTCCATTTTAACAACTGTAATTTATTCCTAAAACCATATTTAAAAACAAGGACATTTTTTAAATGGTAAAAATCATATGCAGAATTCTGTCCCACCTCAAGATAACTCAACAATTTGTCGGTAGAAAAATAAATCTAAAAACAGAAAAAGCCGGGCGCAGTGGTTCACGCCTGTAATCCCAGCACTTTGGGAGGCTGAGGCGGGCAGATCATGAGGTCACAAGTTGGAGACCAGCCTGACCAAAAAGGCGAAATCCAGTCCCTACTAAAAATACAAGATCAGCCGGGCGTGGTGGCGCGCGCCTGCAGTCCCAGCTACTCAGGAGGCTGAGGCAGGAGAATCGCTAGAACCTGGGAGGCGGAGGCTGCAGTGAGCCCAGATGGCGCCGCTGCACTCCTGCCTGGGCCACAGAGCGAGACTCTGTCTTAAAATGTGTACATATAAATTATTTAAAAGTGAATAAATCGTACATAAAACGAAGCGCAATGGAGTTTTGTTGCACTGATACTTTCTTCCTCTTTCTTTCCCATTTGGTTTGCAAAGGCGACCTTTGGAAGGTTCCCGGCCACCCTGGAGTCAGGCTGCACCCTAAACACAGTCCTGGCACAGGAGCGACGGGCGCGCGGGCTCTGGCTCCTGGAGAGGCGCGCGGGGCTGAGGGTGCGGGGTGGAGCGAGCGGGGGTGGTGGGGGCGCGCGGGGCGGGGCGGGGCGGGGTGCGGGGTGGCGGAGGGGCGCGGGGCGGGGTCGCCTGGCCGAACGCGCGCAGTTTCCCCGGGAAGCCGAGCTGTCAGCACTTGGGGCCGGTGGGGTGGGGGAGTCCGCCGGAAGCGGGAAAGTCCAGTATCACTTCCCCTCATGCATCTGCCGTGCTTTGGGGTTGAAAAAGCCATTCTGGGGTACAAAGGGTCTGCAACGTGGCAAGTTTTCAAGGGCCACGATGACCGCGACAGGACCTGAGAGGCGCGGGACTGATGGGCTGGGGGAGGTCCTGCTGCCGCTGCAGGGGCGGCGGGCGCCCTGGGTGGGCCACGCGGGGGGACAGTCCAGGCTCCGCGCCCACTGCCTACCCCCGAGGGACCAAGCGTAACCTCGCGGGAGCTGGAGGGCCGGGCCCTGAGCCACGTCGGGGAGGGGTGAGTCAGGGGTCCCGGTGGTGCTGCACCGGGGAGCTCGGGCCCGCACCTCTCGGCACAAATGTCCGCGGGCTCCCCAAAGCTAACGCCCGCTGCGTGGGCCGCAAGTTGCTCCTTGCCCGCAGCTCATTCCCCTGGGTGTGGGGCCAGCCCCTGGGCTCGGCAGGGGTGTCCCCAGAGATGCTCCGCTGGCTCAGTCCCTCCCCTGGGCCCCCAGGCTGGTGGCTCCATAAGGAACTTCCAGAGAGAGTGGGAAGCATCAGCGCAGGTGCCTGCCCCCGCCGAGGGCCTGGTGTGGGTGACTCCAGCCCTCAGCAGGACCCTCCCATTTTGGGGTTGGCAGCTCCTGGATCACCCCACACCTGCGTTCCCCAAGGCCTCGGCACTACTTGCTCCATGGCCAAAAGCATCACTGGGTGAAACTCGGACTAACTGCGCGAAGCGGCCTAAGGTTTTGGTCCTACAGGAATCACGGAAGAGCCCGTACCCCGTGTGGCCTACACTGGGGACACACAGCGCGCGGTATGAAGCCTTCTCTCCTCCTGCAATCACAGAGCCCAAGCCCGGCACTTGGGAATGAAGACGTGTGATTTCGCCCACCGACTCGCCCCACAGAACCCAGGTCTGCGCCTGCCCTGAGGGCGAGGTGGCTGATCCCGTACAGCCGCTCAGAGCGCGGGGCTGGGCTGGGCCCTTCCCTGTGAGCAGCGCCCTCCGCGTCAAGGAGCACCGTCCACCCTGGGAGGGAAGGTGTGGTGCTCCGGAGGTTGCTGGAAGCCGCGCGCAGCAGGGAGACGGAGGGGCACAGAGCAGGTCCTCGCCCGGAGTTACCGGGTCCGGGGACGCCTCCCTCCCAGGTCAGCTCACAAAGGTTCCAGACACTCGTCCTTGGCGATGACCATTCTGATGTGGCTACGGCCACCTTGTGCTGTTGCCTTTTTCTGAATCACTTCTATCATGTTTGCCAAATTCCGGGAACATGGCTGCCCGGAAACCTCAAGTTCTCAATAAATGACGACAAAAATCCAATGCACAGACCAATGTATCTCATTTTAATGCTTGACTTCTAAGCATCCTTATTCAACATATCGCATGTATGTTTTGTTTCCTGAGTAAAATGTGCGTTGAGCTTCCTCCCGTAGCTGTCCATACACCAGCCACCATCACCGCCATCATTATTTTGTTCTAAACTTTTCATTTGCACGTGTAGGTCTAGCTTTTTCCTCCATATTGTTGAAATAAAACTCACCCATTTCACAACTCAGTCAAAGCTAGGGCCTTCAGTTCCAGCCTGTTGCCTCAAACGGCCTTTCCTATATCTTACTGCTTCACTGTCTGACTCACTCCAGCGTGTTTCAGCCAGATATCCTTGTTTTTATTCCTCTCTCCCTCCCTCCCCCACTTCCCTCCTCTGCCTCTTTCTGTCTCCCCCATCCCTCCCTCTTCCCCTCCCTCCCTCCTCTGTCTCTCT